TAAGAGTTTTCATTAGAGATTTTTACCAACCCCTGAGAAACCTCTGTCACAACTTAATTCTAAGATGATGTCAGTTGAAACTGTTGTTTTGGGAATTCACAGGGTCAATGATTTCAAGACTGGTACGCTGGTAGGAACTGACAAATATGGAAACAAATACTATGAAGACAAAAGAAACTTCTTTGGTATGTGTGCTACTGTGAACACCTCCTGACTTTGTATAGACTTTTTTTTTGTCCAACTTTGTATAGATTGTGTAATTTCTGCTAGTGAAATAGAACTTGTTGCTTGCCCGACTTCCTCACACTTGTCTTGTGTGAGTCTTAAAGAGAGGGGGCTCATAGAAATGCTTTCACATCTTCTGTCTCAATTAATCTGCAAACATAGTCAATCTACAATAATAAATAGGGGATAAATATAAGCCAGTCAGATGCTTTCCATGTAGGTATGCCTATATGATAGTGGGATTGAGTGCTGAATTTGATCCTTGACCTGAAAGCTGATAGCTTAGCAGGTGAGGGAAGAAAGAGAACAGCCTTTAAAACTGCCTCACAGCTGAGCTTACTTATGTGATCACTTCAGGGCAGAGAAACACAGTTTCGCTTAAACTTCCTACTACCTTAAATAATGGGATTTAAAATAACGTTTATAGAGTACTTTAAAAAGTGGCACCTAAAACAGTGAAGGTGACACATAAGCAATTGACATGCTGGCTAGGCCAAGCTCTGCCTACTGTAGGTTAACTTGTAGGGTACCTGGGGAAAGCAGTTGCTGGTAAACATTGCTTGGTAGTTTGGTATGGCTGAAACTTAGTTTAATCTGAGGCTATACTCATGGCAATGTCCTTTTGGAAAAGACTCCTCCTAATGGAGAAAATTTCTCTGCCTGAAAATTTTTTAAGTTCCTATTTCCCGTTACTTATAGAATAGCTAATACTTGCTTCCTCGTGAGAGCGTTAGATTCAGCCATATAAAAGTACAGTAACAGTGGAAATACAGAAAACTTAGAAAAATAGCAGCTGTACTGACTTTGAAATAAGTACCCACAGTGGTAGATTCTTTTAGTCAAAATACTTTTCCTTGTGTTTTCATGAATTCCCTCCTTTATATGAAAATAATTTTTTCTTTTGAGCTAATACAATATTTCTGTTTGTTTGTTTAAGGTCGACACAGATGGGTCATCTACACTAATGAAATGCATGGCAAAAATACGTATTGGGAGGTTGATGGAAGTATGGTGCCCCCTGAATGGTAAAGCTTGATAATGTGGACAGATAGCAATTGTGCAATTGTCTGTATATTTTTCTTGTATTACAAAGCAGAAGATTAAAAAAAAAAAAGTTTTATGGCAATAAATAAAGTTTTCTAGGATGCAGGTATCTTATATATGACCAGAAGATTTCAGACTGGTTACTTTTGATTTTGAAATGCATTCATAATGTTATTTTGCTCGCTGTCTTGACAGCTGCACTCACTGCTTCTTGGAATGAGAAAAGCATTTTGCCAGTCAGCTTGAGCAGGTCTAGCCAGTCTTCAACTTTTCCTTATTAGTTGTGATTCCGTCCTAATAGTTCGGTGAAGCCTACAATAATTGAGTAGCCAGACATAGGAAAAATATCTTTATTACCCATTCTAGACAAGAACCTAAAGAACGTAAGGCAATGATGGAACAACATT